TCAACAGCAAAAGTGCCTGCCTGGCAAGCACAGGTTCATGAGTTTGATCCCCGGTACCAAAAAAAAGGACCCTAGAAAATCCAGCTGAGGGCTGAGATCCCACAGCAACATTCTGCATGAATCCAGCTGAAGACGTAGAGCCCATGACAATGTCTCATGCAATGTCTCATCACAGATCTGTGCTGTGAAGGACCAAAGGTCAGTGGTAGAAGCTAGAAAGTCTGTGCCAGAGGGATGAAGGATTTACACCAGTAGGTTGAGGGTTCTGCAGTGCATCCAGGAAGTGACACTCAAAGTAAGGACCAGGGCTTCCCTGAAAAGTACGATATCCATCTGCTGACAATCAGAACAACCACGTTCATATTGGGAAGCCAGTGTGACAAGCTTCTCCAAGGGACTGAACAGCACACCATCTTCCTCTCTGGAGCTAGGAAGCGATGCTCAAAGTAAGGACCAGAGCTCCCCCAAAGTGAACACTCAGTGACAAGATCTCCAGCTCCTCGGACAATATCAGGTTCTGAGAAGCTCAGCAATCTCCTCCGTTAGAACCAAGTTACAAGAGGACCAACACCACCCCAGAGACCAACAACAATAAGGAGAACCCGCAATGCTAAACTTTTCCTTACCAGTTCTCCATTTAATGTTGACAGCAATCCTCAGCTGGGCCATGTATGTTCAGCACCACACTGAGTCAGTTCAGCTGGATTTTACAAGTTGACTACCGCTTATCAATCCAACCACACTCATATTCTAGCAGAAAAAGACAATAATCAAATACATAGTGTTTTAGGTAAAATAAGCAATATGGAGGAATATGAACCAGGAGAAGAGATTAAGGAATGTCAAAATGGCAGTGAAGAGCCGTTATTTATTGCAGCAGGGCCTTCCTGAGAAAGTGACATTTGAGCAGAAGCTTAAGAAGGAATGAGCCGAGTGGATTCCAGAGGAAGTACATTTCAGGAAGAGGAAAGAGCAATTGCAGAAGTTCTAAAGAAGAAGCATGTATGGCATGTTTGAGGAATAGTAAGAAAACCAAACTGGACAGAGAGAAGGCAAGTAAGCCTAAGTCAGAGAGGTCTTGGGCATGGATGGAGGAGAGGGCAGACCAGGCTCACAGATATCACACAAACCCACGCACACTCCCAGGGACTTGGACTTGAGCTGTTGGGAATCTGGGAGAGAGGAAATTGTGTAGAAGAGCAGGGAGACTGCAGGGAGACTGATTCAGCATCAAGTTAGGAGCAGCAGGAGGGGTGTGGGCCTGAGTGGTGACCATGCAAGGACAGCAAGGGGCTCACATGTTGCTGAACCAATAGTGAGTGGATGAACTTGAACCCACTCAGCTGGCAGGTGATGGAGCCAAGGTTCTCAGGCAGTGGGGCAACTTCAGGCCTTTGCTAATAACCACAAATACGATGAGAGAAGAGCTAGAGAGAGGAGTTAGTGCAACCCCCTTGGAGCTTCCTGTTGTTAAGAGGATGGAAAATATTTCGTATTGGAAGCTTTATTGGAAAAGGCAGAAGACAGACAAATAATTTTCTGAATACAAAACATATGGAACAGGGCTAGGGAAGTATCTCAGTGGTAGAGTGCTTGCCTAGCATGCACAATTCCCTGGGTTCCATCCATCCCCAGTACTGAAAAAATACAAAAGCAGAAACAAAAACATCTGGAAGATCAAAAAAGCCCAAATCCAGCACAGTGGAGAGGGCTGAGACTAGGGTTACTGATCAATGATCTCTTAAACCTGTGTGTGACTTGTTTTCAAGAAAATGAACTAAGGAGGTGCTTTTCGAATTAAAATACTAAGTGAAAAAAGCTGCAAAGGCTGTAACTAAGGTACCTTTTTTGGAAGAACAACTAATTTAGAAGATTCTCGCTATGCAAATGTAAAGCAGAGATGCTCAGCCGTCCATTTTTCTGGCTTGCATTTCAATCTTTAGCTTCCTTGGGGATGACTTGGATGATTATTTGCTCCTCAGTGTTATTTTCCATTTGCTAATCTGTTGGATCCATTTGAGTCAAACTGTTCCTTTCCAGGCTTGGTTGCTTCTTTTGGAAGTGTTCCTTCCTTCAACGAGGTTACAGAAACAAGAGCTGAATTATACACACAGTTGTAGCAAGTAGATTTCTATTTTTGAGTTTATCTGAATATTCAGAGGACTGCTTTGGTGTTGAAATTAACCACCTTTCTTGGGAATTCCTATTTCTCAGCCTAATCAGAAATCGGTGTGTGGCCTGTGCACATCCCGTGAGGAGGCAGGGAGGCCTCGTTAAGAGCAGGAATTAGGGGCTCACAGAGGGAAAGTTGAATCCATATCTGTTTCTCAGTTGGTCAAGTCCTTAACATTTCCCTCACTGGCAAAATTCACACCCCCAAAACTGCCTTGTGAGGTGGCTGTGAGATTGATTAAAATGATGTATGAGGTGTCAGAATGATTTGCTTGGTGAATGAAAATAACTATGTTAATTGCCAGCAAACTACTTCCTTTGTGGTAGTGTGTTTTTCTAGCTCTGTTGTTTCACCTCTAGAGTGGCTATATAATTTATCGTTGTCCAAACTGGGAGTGAATGTGTAAGAATGAAAGATGCCAAACCAGAGATAGTGTGGGCCCAGAGGATTAGGTCAGGCTCAGCCCAGGTGAACCTGGACATACAGCACCTAAAGACTAAGCTTGGTGACACCTTCGAGAGACAGCTGGCTGCCACCATGTTGCCACTTTGCTGGAGGGACAAGAGGAGGCAGATGGAATGAGCAAAGCAGACTTTGTCTTTGTTATGCATGGTTTGCTACTGCATAGTTAGTAAGTATGCTACTTGAGAACAATCTCATCTTTGAACAATATTAACAATGAAAGAAGTCTTCTTCTCTTCCACCTTAAAGTTCAAGAAGGGGATTGCCCCTTCTGAGCTAAGATTTTCCCAAGAAGCATAGATTTCATGTGCCAGACAACACAAAACCTGGAAGCCAGGGTGGGGTGACAAGGCCTTGTGTTACAGTCCAGGCTGTAAAGACTCATGCTAACCATGTTACTCATTACCTGGCAGCACGGTGATACTCAGACCTGCAGGAATTTAGGTATAATTGGCATTACTGTAAAATACCTCTTTCTAGATCCTCAGTGCAGAACTTCTGGATTCTCTGGAGTTCTCATATTTAAATTAGTATCCAGGATATTTTCTATGACCTTGAAAGGTTTGGAAACATCACTCTTACTTTGAAAAAGTCCATTTGGGCTTTGATTTAATTGTTCAATTGATGTTAGGAAGTTTCTTTTGTCATCTCATGCTTGTGAAATGACCAGAGGAGGCTCTGATGGAGCTATAGTCATGTGAGAGATTCTCTGGATCGGGGGACAGGGTTTTGGGGTTCCTTGGGAATTGTTTTTTTTAGAGCAGGCTTTCAAGGAGTTGAGCCTTATTTTTTTTATTTTATGTCGCTGTACATTATTGCTTTGTCTTTTGTTTCCCCACCATGCTTCTGGGGAAACTATTCATACTCCCAAGCTCTGTCTCTCCTTCCTTAATCCTCATCCTTACCTGAGTGACCATAATGGTTTAGGTCTAAAATGACCTCTGCAAGTCTCATGTGGTCAGAAGTGGGACTTCCAGGAAGGTGATAGATCATGGGGGGATGATCTGCTCATCAGTGTATTAACCCATTGATAAATTCATAGCTGAACGTGCTGTTAGCAGTGGGGCCTGGTCAGAGGGGTGGGTCACTGGGGATGCGACCTGAAAGGGTGCTCTTGTCCTGGCTCCTCCATTCTTTTTCTTAGCTCTCTAGGGTTAAGCAGCTTTCCTCCGCCAGGACTTTGGGCCAGGCCATTTTTCCTTGGAGCCAGCCCGATAGGCAGAGTCCTTTAAAACTGTGAACCAAATAAGCTTCTCCCGCTTTATGTTGTAGGTGACTAATACAGTGACCACGGGCAGGTTACTGAGCTAGTCTCAGTTTTCTCACTGTGACTTCTAAAATGAAACAATACAAGAATAGTCTTCAGCTATAATAGTAGATACTTGAATAAAAAAAAAATAGTAGATACTTGAGCTTAACCTTTCCCTTCCCTTACTTCTGACCCAAATACAGAAATAAACTTTCTCTTCCAAAAAATCATTAGGAGCCTAATTGAAAGACTATATTTTTTTCAGGGCTCAATTTACTTTTGGATTCTTTGTGTTTATTTATTTATTTATTTATTTTTGTCTTTTTCATTTTTATCGGTACCGGGGATCGAACGCACGACCGCTTGCTTGCAAGGCAGGTGCTTATACCGCTGAGCTAAATCCCCAGCCCCTTTTGTGTTTAATTTTTAAAAATTGACAAAAATATACATATTCATGAGGTACTATGTGACGTTTTGATACATGTAGTATAATGCTAAAATCAGAGGCAGGTATGGAGGTGCAAGCCTGTAATCCTAGCACTCAGGAGGCTGAGACAGGAGGATCGCCATGAGTTCAGGGCCAGCCTGGGCTACACAATTAATCCAAGGTCAGCCTGAACTTCATAGCAAGACCCTGTCTCAAAAGTTAAAGCAAATCAAATCAAATCAAACCAGAGTAAGCATATCTGTCTCCTGAAATACTTACAATTTTTTTGTGGTAAAAACATTCAGTATTTTCTGTCTCAAGATTTTTGAAATATATAGTACATTATCATTATCTATGGTTATCCTATGCTATAATAGGATTTAATTTACTCTTGTCAGCGTTTAAGACTACTCTCAAGTCAGGCAAGCTGGCACATGCCTGTATTCTTAGCATTGTGGGAGGATGAGGCAAGACAATCATAATTTGAGCCCAGCCTAGTCCATTTAGCAAGAATTTGTCTCAAAATAAAAAAATAAAAAAGGGCCGAGGTGGTGGTTACTGTTGAGTGTCAAGTTGGCTGGCTGTGGGCCCTGCAGGAGGCAGCCAGGCACCCACTAACCGCGTGTTTGGGTGGGTCGTGGAGGGCTGGCCTTGGATTTCTCTCAGGTCCCTCACTGCTTCTTCCCTAGCACTGTCCTCCTGCCTTCCTCCTGCCACCAGAAGCTAAGCAGCTCTGCTCTGACATGCCCTGCCGCGATGTTTCTGCTTTGGAGTCAGTCGGCCATGGACCGAATCCACGTGAGTCGTGAGCCACTTCAATCTCCCCTTTTAGTTGTGGGTGGCCGGTATTGTGACCCGGCAATGGGAAATGACTGACACAGCAGGGAATATCGCCTGGTGTAGAGGCTCCGGGTTGAATTCCCAGTACTGGGGGTGGGGGAGCACACGCAGCTCTTCAGATCTTGCAATTCTTCCTCTTTTCGTATGTCTATGCCACTTTTTCCTGTTTCCCTCCCTGGTTACCCGAATATCTCCTTTAACATGCCCAGTAGTAGAGGAGCTGTTTGCTAGTGACATATAATTAACGTCTGTGATATACTCACTGTGCAGAAGTAGATTAATCATTTGTGCCCTAAATAGGGACTTGTATGAATGGCCATTCCAGGACTTAACTGCCTTTTTTCCTTTATGTATATCTAAGATTAGTTACTGGAATTATGCAGTCTAAGAGGTAAAAATCTTTTTAATTGGTTCATATTTAATTAACCACTGTTAATAAGCCCCTTTTCACAGAGTTAGCTGGGTCAGACAATGAACAGGGACACATACCAGAGCTAAGTACTGTGGGAGGAGATAATCCCTAAGCGAGTTTTCCTGAATTGTGGTCCTGAGAAGTCAAATGGCCATAAATACCTACAAAAAGGAATGGGGCGGAGGGCAAAAGAGGAAAGGAGAAGAGAAATAACAGGTTGGGCTGAGATCTTGCTTGGGATAGACTGTGAACCCGCGTCCAGGTCGCAGGAGATGGGGAGGGACGCTGTGCCGTAGGAGTAAAAGCACGCGCTTCTCAGCTGGTGTGTCTCGCAGCTGGGCGTCGCTCTGGGAAGAGTGTAAGTTAAAGCCTCACTCTCACTGCTTCTGCAGTCCAGTTTTTGTGGGGGCTGGACAAGTAAATTTATTTCTCAAAACGGGGGGGGGGGGGGCTGGTCTGGGATGTTTTGTGCCTCCGCGGACCAGGTCCTGGTAGAGAGGAAAAAAGTGCCATCCCATTTTGAGTGCCCATTCTGCCTAGAAAGTCCCATCTCCTCCCAGAAGTCACAGAACACCTGAGACTATTGTCCCTAAGACAGCAAACTGATGTAGGGGGAGATAAAACAGGCACCTTAACTGAGACACATGGTGACAGGCAACTCCTGCGTGGGCAAGGCAGGAAAGTTGCACTGTAAGTGCGGAGTCAAATGTCCCCGTGGGAGTTTGGGGTACACAGCAGGGAGTAGGTGCCGTATGGGGTTTGGGGTACGCAGCGGGAGTAGGTGCCGTATGGGGTTTGGGGTACACAGCAGGGAGTAGGTGCCGTATGGGGTTTGGGGTACACAGCAGGGAGTAGGTGCCGTATGGGGTTTGGGGTCCACAGCAGGGAGTAGGTGCCGTATGGGGTTTGGAGTCCACAGCAGGGAGTAGGTGCCGTATGGGGTTTGGGGTACACAGCAGGGAGTAGGTGCCCTATGGGGTTTGGGGTCCACAGCAGGGAGTAGGTACCGTATGGGGTGTGGGGTACACAGCGGGAGTAGGTGCCGTATGGGGTTTGGGGTACACAGCGGGAGTAGGTGCCGTATGGGGTTTGGGGTACACAGCAGGGAGTAGGTGCCGTATGGGGTTTGGGGTACACAGCGGGAGTAGGTGCCGTATGGGGTTTGGGGTACACAGCAGGGAGTAGGTGCCGTATGGGCTTTGGGGTACACAGCGGGAGTAGGTGCCGTATGGGGTTTGGGGTACACAGCAGGGAGTAGGTGCCGTATGGGGCTTGGGGTACACAGCGGGAGTAGGTGCCGTATGGGGTTTGGGGTACACAGCAGGGAGTAGGTGCCACATGGGGTTTGGGGTACACAGCAGGGAGTAGGTGCCGTATGGGGTTTGGGGTACACAGCAGGGAGTAGGTGCCGTATGGGGTTTGGGGTACACAGCGGGAGTAGGTGCCGTATGGGGTTTGGGGTACACAGCAGGGAGTAGGTGCCGTATGGGGTTTGGGGTACACAGCGGGAGTGGGTGCCGTATGGGGTTTGGGGTACACAGCAGGGAGTAGGTGCCGTATGGGGTTTGGGGTACACAGCGGGAGTAGGTGCCGTATGGGGTTTGGGGTACACAGCGGGAGTAGGTGCCGTATGGGGTTTGGGGTACACAGCAGGGAGTAGGTGCCGTATGGGGTTTGGGGTACACAGCGGGAGTAGGTGCCGTATGGGGTTTGGGGTACACAGCAGGGAGTATGTGCCGTATGGGGCTTGGGGTACACAGCGGGAGTAGGTGCCGTATGGTGTTTGGGGTACACAGCAGGGAGTAGGTGCCGTATGGGGTTTGGGGTACACAGCGGGAGTAGGTGCCGTATGGGATTTGGGGTACACAGCAGGAAGTAGGTGCCGTATGGGGTTTGGGGTACACAGCAGGGAGTAGGTGCCGTATGGGGTTTGGGGTACACAGCGGGAGTAGGTGCCACATGGGGTTTGGGGTACACAGCAGGGAGTAGGTGCCACATGGGGTTTGGGGTACACAGCAGGGAGTAGGTGCTGTATGGGTTTTGGGGTACACAGCGGTAGTAGGTGCCATATGGGGTTGGGGTACACAGCGGGAGTAGGTGCCGTATGGGGTTTGGGGTACACAGCAGGGAGTAGGTGCCGTATGGGGTTTGGGGTACACAGCAGGGAGTAGGTGCCGTATGGGGTTTGGGGTACACAGCGGGAGTAGGTGCCGTATGGGGTTTGGGGTACACAGCAGGGAGTAGGTGCCGTATGGGGTTTGGGGTACACAGCAGGGAGTAGGTGCCGTATGGGGTTTGGGGTACACAGCAGGGAGTAGGTGCCGTATGGGGTTTGGGGTACACAGCGGGAGTAGGTGCCGTATGGGGTTTGGGGTACACAGCGGGAGTAGGTGCCGTATGGGGTTTGGGGTACACAGCAGGGAGTAGGTGCCGTATGGGGTTTGGGGTACACAGCGGGAGTAGGTGCCGTATGGGGTTTGGGGTACACAGCAGGGAGTAGGTGCCGTATGGGGTTTGGGGTCCACAGCAGGGAGTAGGTGCCGTATGGGGTTTGGAGTCCACAGCAGGGAGTAGGTGCCGTATGGGGTTTGGGGTACACAGCAGGGAGTAGGTGCCCTATGGGGTTTGGGGTCCACAGCAGGGAGTAGGTACCGTATGGGGTGTGGGGTACACAGCGGGAGTAGGTGCCGTATGGGGTTTGGGGTACACAGCGGGAGTAGGTGCCGTATGGGGTTTGGGGTACACAGCAGGGAGTAGGTGCCGTATGGGGTTTGGGGTACACAGCGGGAGTAGGTGCCGTATGGGGTTTGGGGTACACAGCAGGGAGTAGGTGCCGTATGGGCTTTGGGGTACACAGCGGGAGTAGGTGCCGTATGGGGTTTGGGGTACACAGCAGGGAGTAGGTGCCGTATGGGGCTTGGGGTACACAGCGGGAGTAGGTGCCGTATGGGGTTTGGGGTACACAGCAGGGAGTAGGTGCCACATGGGGTTTGGGGTACACAGCAGGGAGTAGGTGCCGTATGGGGTTTGGGGTACACAGCAGGGAGTAGGTGCCGTATGGGGTTTGGGGTACACAGCGGGAGTAGGTGCCGTATGGGGTTTGGGGTACACAGCAGGGAGTAGGTGCCGTATGGGGTTTGGGGTACACAGCGGGAGTGGGTGCCGTATGGGGTTTGGGGTACACAGCAGGGAGTAGGTGCCGTATGGGGTTTGGGGTACACAGCGGGAGTAGGTGCCGTATGGGGTTTGGGGTACACAGCGGGAGTAGGTGCCGTATGGGGTTTGGGGTACACAGCAGGGAGTAGGTGCCGTATGGGGTTTGGGGTACACAGCGGGAGTAGGTGCCGTATGGGGTTTGGGGTACACAGCAGGGAGTATGTGCCGTATGGGGCTTGGGGTACACAGCGGGAGTAGGTGCCGTATGGTGTTTGGGGTACACAGCAGGGAGTAGGTGCCGTATGGGGTTTGGGGTACACAGCGGGAGTAGGTGCCGTATGGGATTTGGGGTACACAGCAGGAAGTAGGTGCCGTATGGGGTTTGGGGTACACAGCAGGGAGTAGGTGCCGTATGGGGTTTGGGGTACACAGCGGGAGTAGGTGCCACATGGGGTTTGGGGTACACAGCAGGGAGTAGGTGCCACATGGGGTTTGGGGTACACAGCAGGGAGTAGGTGCTGTATGGGTTTTGGGGTACACAGCGGTAGTAGGTGCCATATGGGGTTGGGGTACACAGCGGGAGTAGGTGCCGTATGGGGTTTGGGGTACACAGCAGGGAGTAGGTGCCGTATGGGGTTTGGGGTACACAGCAGGGAGTAGGTGCCGTATGGGGTTTGGGGTACACAGCGGGAGTAGGTGCCGTATGGGGTTTGGGGTACACAGCAGGGAGTAGGTGCCGTATGGGGTTTGGGGTACACAGCAGGGAGTAGGTGCCGTATGGGGTTTGGGGTACACAGCAGGGAGTAGGTGCCGTATGGGGTTTGGGGTACACAGCGGGAGTAGGTGCCGTATGGGGTTTGGGGTACACAGCGGGAGTAGGTGCCGTATGGGGTTTGGGGTACACAGCAGGGAGTAGGTGCCGTATGGGGTTTGGGGTACACAGCGGGAGTAGGTGCCGTATGGGGTTTGGGGTACACAGCAGGGAGTAGGTGCCGTATGGGGTTTGGGGTACACAGCGGGAGTAGGTGCCGTATGGGGTTTGGGGTACACTGCAGGGAGTAGGTGCCGTATGGGGTTTGGGGTACACAGCGGGAGTAGGTGCCGTATGGGGTTTGGGGTACACAGCAGGGAGTAGGTGCCGTATGGGGCTTGGGGTACACAGCGGGAGTAGGTGCCGTATGGGGTTTGGGGTACACAGCGGGAGTAGGTGCCGTATGGGGTTTGGGGTACACAGCAGGGAGTAGGTGCCGTATGGGGTTTGGGGTACACAGCGGGAGTAGGTGCCGTATGGGGTTTGGGGTACACAGCAGGGAGTAGGTGCCGTATGGGCTTTGGGGTACACAGCGGGAGTAGGTGCCGTATGGGGTTTGGGGTACACAGCAGGGAGTAG